GAATATAAATGTGTTATGGCTACGTATGAAGACCACAAAAGGTGCATGTGTCCCTAGCCGGTGGATCAATCGTTGGGAGCTGATGGTATCTTGAGGGTTCTGACTTCATCAGTGGCTTAATCCATTGATAGATTAATAATTTAATCATGATATTGGGAGGCTTTGGAAACTTTGTGAGGTGGGATCTAGTTAGAGCAATTAAGTAGGTCACTAGGGTCATGTCCCCCTTCATACCTACCTCTGCTTGCTAGCCATGATGAGCTGAGCACCTTTGCTCTGTAACGTTTTCCTCTTTATGAAGTCTGCTTCACCCCAGCCCCAGAAACAGCAGAGCCAAGTGACCATGACTGAAACCATGAGCCAAAGTGAACTTTCCTCCTGTGAATCTTTTCTCTCAGGTGTTACAGCAAGAAAAAAAAAATTCACTAATATGCAAACTGTCTGGCCTCTTCATATAAGGGCACTAATCCCACCATAGCGCCTCACCAGCATGACGTCACCTGACCTTAATTATTTCCCAAAGCTCCATTCTAAATACCATCACATTAGGGAAGATCATTTGTAATCCATTCTCACACCACTATCTCAAAATCTCCTTCCTCTCCAGCATTTCTTTACTATTGACTCCTTCTCCAGGACAACTGGAAAACGCAGAGTAAGTATCCTTGAAGTCCTTTTTCACAATCCAAAAGAGTCATTGATTTTTAAAAAGTGTAAGTGTAATACTTTGATATGCCCTCTCTTGTCTCCCCAAGCTCCCAGTAAAACCCTTTCTTTCTCCCTAACCTGCTTGCATCATGAGTGAGAGCAAGATCATTCCTGGCAGTCAGCAGAAGTGCTGAGTGACAACTGCCCTGGTCCAACCTACAGAGGCCGCTTCGTCCCATGGAGCCCCTTCTCAGGATTGCTCAGGCTGTAGCATTCTGACCTTTGGGTTGCTTTGTTGTTGTTCCTTTTTGGATTCTGGGTTCATTCTGTTTTTCTTTGTTTGTTTCTAGTATCCTGAGTGATCTTTCAAACATCACAAATGTACTTGTAGAAACCTATAATTCACATGAAACGATCTATGCCATCAACTGTGGTGTTGCATGACTATAATCCCAGCAGTCAGGAGGCTGAGGCAGGAGGACTGCTATGAGTTTGAGGCCAGCCTTGGCTATATAACGAGTTCCAAACCAGCCAGGACTTCATAGGAAGACCCTGTCTCAGAACAAAAACCAAAATAAAACAAAACCTATCCAAATGTGATAGTGCATGCATATAAGCCTAGCACTTGGGTGGTAAAGACAAGAGGATCAGAGTTCAAGGTCATTCCCTATGCACAAGTTTGGGGTCAGATTGGGCTACATGAGACCCTGTCTCAAAAAGAGAAAAGAAAAGAAAAAGAAAAAAGAGGAGGATAAAGATGGAGGGGAAGAGGAGGAGGAGGAGAAGGGGAGAGAGAGAGACAGAGACACAGAGAGAGAGAGATAAAGATATGCTTAATAGATATTGGAGAAAGGCACAGAAATTTGGGGTTTTTCATCTATTCTTTGAGTGAACTTTTACTTATTTTTGTGGTACTAGGGACAAAAAATCAGGGTCATACCTATGCTACACAGGCTTTGCACCAATGAGCTGCAGCTCCAGTCCAGGGATTTTTATTTAGAAGAAAGCTTTTCCCATCCCCCTTAATCAAAGAGCACTTAGTTACTGTATAATGAATAATTAAAAAGCCTCTTCTCGTGATCAGAGTCAGGAGTTTTCCTGTCCAAGTTAATTTGACTCCTCTGGCAAAGGAAATCCTTAGAAAGGATAAGACCAATATAGCGTTTTCACTTAATATGAAATCTAAATTTCTTTTATTAAGTAGTTCAGAAATGGTTACACTTTCTCTTAACTGGGTAGCTGAAAAATGTGGCGAGAGCTGGAGCAATGACCTTGAAGTTTTCTTGAGGCTAAGAGGCTTCACAGTGGCCACCTCTGTCTGTGGCCATTTTGGGGTAATTTGATACAGTCCCTTAGTAATGAAAAAAGAAAACTTGAATAAAGATAGAGGGAAACTTAGCCGGGAGCCTGGTGCTTAGGTTTAATGAAAACTGCTGCTTTCTTACTTCTGTAAGAGTTCAAAGACCTAGGGTGATTCCCCTAAATGGTTTCAGCTAACCCAATGTGGGAGGAAAAATCAGTATTGATAGCATCCCCACTGGAAAATTTAAAGTCTAATTAGCTCTCAGGATGGCTGACTTTCCTTAATTCATCAATGGGATTCTGGGAAACCAGGCAGGTAGAGCAGACGCCAAGAACTAAGAAGAAAGAGCAAGAGCAAAGTGAGAAGCCTAAGTTCAGGGCAAAGCAACCAACCCTGGTGATTTGCTCCCCATCGTGACTCACCTGGCACAGAACCCCTAACCGATCTGCTACCTGGTTAATGGGATCCAGGAGAAACTTGGAATAGTGGCCCACTTACACTTCTGATTAATTCTCTATAACTCGATACTGTTAGCAAATGGATTAAAGAACCATTTGATCTTCAAAAAGGGGTTTACAGTTGCTTTGATGATTAAGTACCCAGGGGACACAATGGATTATCATGGATAATGGATTAGGAGAAGGGGGATATTAAAAAGGAACTGTCCTCCCTGGTCACATACAGATGATCTTGAGGTTGAATGGGGGCTAAGTTAACTCTGTCATGAGCTTGAAAGGCTAATCTAAAGGAATCCATTTTTCTCATTCCTTGGAGGAAAATCAGGCGTTTTATTGGCAGAGCTTTGAAGTCTAACCTCCATTCTCAAGATATAGGTAGATCTGGGGGAGAGTATTTTGGCAAGTATACGTGCAGAGCTGAAAAGGAATAAAGAGGAAACTGGTGTATCCTTTACCTGTTTTCCAGAGGTTAACTTCTGCCTAATGAGTCTCAATGCCAACCTGGCAACCAGTGGATAAAAGATCTGGTGTGGAACAGATGCCCTCCTTGGCTGCTTCCTCCAACCCTATCCTAGTCTCTGGCCCTTTCATGGAGTTACAACTCACAAACAGAGAGTAAGAAATGATTGTGTTCCTGAGCTAAAGTTGTGGTATGGGGAAAATGGTGGTGGAAGGCCTTGCGTGTGTAACCTGTGACTTACCATGGTGTTAGAAAATTGTATCTTCTGCTACCTTCCAAAGTGAAACAAAATTAAACTTTCTCCTTCATTCCAGGTCTTGGGAGAAAATGTGTCAGGAATTTGATTTTTCTAAGCTTTGTAGACAACTTTAACTGAAGCGATAATGTTGTTAAGGTATATTTATTTATTGGGACCTAATTTGTTCTTCAGATTTCTAAATGTAATTTGTAGTCTTGCTGCCACAAACTACTTTTAATCAAGTAGTTGCTCCACTGGGCTTAGTATTGAGACCTCCTGGCTCTCAAGAGCTCTGTGACATTGGTGTATTAGTTACTTTTCTGCTGCTGTGATAAAAACGCTGACCAAAACAATTTATAAAAAGGAAGAGTTTATTTGAGCTTAGGCTTATAGGGGAATTACAGTCTGTCATGGCGAGGAGGCATGGTGGCTGGAGGTGGCTGGAGCAGGAGGGAAGCTAAGCTCTCACATCTACAAGCAAGCACAGGAAACAAGAGAGCAACTCAAGATCCGGCAAGGCTTAAGAACTCTTTTAGCCCGCCCTCAGTGACATGTTTCCTCCAAGATAGCCATACCTTCTAAGACCTCCCAAAACAACACCACCAACTGGGGACAAAAATGTCCAAATACTTGGAGCCTATGGGGGACATTTTCTTTCAAACCACTACAATTGAGAACGTTTTTTAACCTCTCTGAACTATAGGAGTCTTATGTAAAACATCTTATTCTGTCTACTTTTCAGGGTTTGAGGGGAAACAAAAGTATAAATGAGATTTTGCTAACAAAACTATTTGAAAAACTGTCATATAAAAGAAAATCAAGGTACAAATTAGTTTTAATGATACAAAATTTAAGCCAGATTGCTGTAAAATGAAAAGATTCTAAAATTCATATGCAAGTTATAAAAGAACTGGCCTGTCTAAAATGATTTGGAAAAAGAAGAATAAAGTGGGAGAAATTATATTACTTAATTTTAAGACTTACTATGTACAACTACAGTGACCAAAATTGTGTGGTATGGGTGAGGGGTTAAATCAATGACAGAAATAGAACTTATGGATATGGCCAACTAATTTCACAATTGTTCAAAATCCAGTAAATGCTAGCTTTCCAACAAGGCGGCTCTGGAGCAATTGGGTAAGCTAAATAGCAAGACTAAACTAAAGATACCAAAATCAAACCCCTATATCTCATGCCATATACAAAATTTCACTCAAAATACATTGCAGATTTGAATGTAAAGCACGAGAGTTTTTAGAAGAAAATACAAAAAAATTCTTCAAAACCTACAATTTTGTTAACATCTCCTGGACATTACACCAAAATCATCATTCACAAAAGAAAAAAATCGAGGCCAAGGATATTGGCACACACCTGTCATAACACTGGGAAGGCTGAGGCAAGAGGACAGAGTTTGAGGCCAGCTTGAGCTGCATGGGGAGAACCTGTGTTTAAAAAAAACAGTACATGACATTTCATTAAAATGGAAAAGCTAGTGCTCTGGGAGAGGCTCTGTTAAGAGGATGAAAAGACAAACAATGTTTGCAAACCACATAGGTAACAATGGACTTAGGTCCAGAATATATAAAGAACTCTAAACACTCAATAATGGAACAAATAACTCAATTAGAAAATAGAAAATAGGCATTTCACCCAAGGAGATAAATGGATGGCAAATAAGTACATGGGAAAATGTTCAGCTTCACTAGCCAGCAGGGAAATATCCATTAAGAAATGTATTACTGCATTCCTATTAGAAGAATGAAATAAAAAACACCAGCAATGCTAATTGCTGGTAAGGATGAGGCAAAACTATATCTCACACACATTGCTGATGGGAATACAACATGGTATAATCAGTGTTGAAAGTAGTGTGGTTAGTTTAAAAATCTGAACCTTTAGCTACCATACCATTACCGGGCATTGAGTCTCCTCAAAATGAAGGCTCTGTCTATGACTGTTCATGAAAGTTTTATTTGTAGGAGCCCCGAACTAGAAACTTATATTAGGTGGATGAGTCAGAAAATTGTGCTATATTTCCTAACACTTGGGAAATGGAAGCAGGAGGATCAGGAGTTCAAGGTCATCCTAGCTTACCACAGTGAGTTTGTGGCCAGGTTGGGCTAGACAAGACCTTGTCCCAACAAGACAAAACGACAACAATAAATTGTGCTTTAGCTATTCCTTACACATTTACCAAGTAATAAAAGGGACTATACTAGGGTGAGGGGAGTTGGCAGCATGCTTGCCTAGCATAAATGAAGCCTGGCGTTCAACCCCCAGCGCTGCATAAGCCAGGTGTGGTAGCATAAACCTGCAACCCCAGCTCTTGGAGATAGAAGCCAAAATATGAAGTAGGACATCTTTGACTATAAGGTGAGTTTGAGACCATCCTGGGCTGCATGAGACACTTCTCAAATATGTATATGTGTGTGTGTATGAATAAATAAATAAACAAATAAATAAAATGAATAAACTATTAATGGACCCAATTTGGTAGGCAAGATAATGTACCCCCAAAAGATAACCAGATCCTAATTCCTCAGACCTGTAACTGTCACCTTATGTGACAAAAGGGTCTTTGCAGGTATGATTAAGTTGGCATCATAAGTGAGCTAACATCATGGGAATTTGAGATGGGAAGTCAGTCCTGCATTACCCTCCTGGCCCTGTGTCATCACAAAAGGCCCTAAAAGAGGGAGGTAACAGATACACAGACAGATACGAGATGGAGCCGAGATCCCAGGGGTGCAGAACCACAAACCAAGACATGCTCTACAGGCTGGAACCAGCTCAGGGAATGGATTCATCCTTAGAGCTTCCAGAAGCCTTCCAATGACTATGCTTTAGCCTCATGAAACTGAGTTTGGATTTCTGACTCTTAGATGTGTGAGATAATAAATCCGAGTTGTTGTAAGTCACTACATTTGTGGTAATTTGTTACGGTGCAATAGAAAACTAATTCTCCATAACTTGGATGGATCTCAAAGGCATATGCTCAGTGGGAAAAGTCAATCCCAAAAGGTCACATACTGTATAATTCCATTTATATGTCATTTTTGAAATAGCAAAATTATAAAGATTGAGAACAAATTAGAGGTTACCAGCGATTAGCAACAGTGTGGTGCATGTCACATTAAAGGGGCAACATAAGTGGGTCTTTCAGCAGTGGGACAGTTCTGCATCATGATCATGCAAGTGGTGATAGGAATCTAGACCTGTGATAAGATGCTGCAGAACTGGACATTCACATTGCACTGAGGTCTAGTTTCTGGTATTGATATTGTGCTGTAGTTATGTAAGATATAACCAGTGAGGTTATGGATGTAGTTCAGTTGGAAGAGTGCTTACCTAGCATGCATAACACCCTGGGTTCAATCCCCAGCACTGTGTATACCAAGCGTGGTGGAATCTATCTTTCTGATATTTCAGCACTGAGAAGTGGAGGCAGGAGGATCAAATGTTCAAGGTCACCCTCTGCTACATAGCAAGCTTGAGGCCATTTTAGTCTATATGAGACCTTGTCTCAAAAAAAACAATATATATATATATGAAATCAATGAGGAAGCAGTGATGGGTACATAGGACACTCTCTGCTGTCTTTGCAAATCACTTATAAAACTATAATTATTTCAAAAAATTAAGTAAAAGTAACAAAAATGCAATTTAGTAAATAGTAAAAACCATGAGCAACAACTTGTAATGAAGCATCTTTAAAAAATACATGTAGGGCCAGGTGTGGTGGCTCACACCTTTAATCCCAGAACTCAGGAGGCAGAGGCAGGCAGATCTCTGTGAGTTCTAGTCCTGCCTGGTCTACACAGTGAGTTCCAAGTCAGCTGGGGCTGCAGGGAGACGGTCTCAAAAAGACCAAATATATATGTATCTTTTGTAAGTGTCTGTGTAAGTATATGCATATTGCAAGTTTTGCTTTGAGGAGCTTTTGGAATTAATAGAAGATTGAACAAACTCCAAAGTGATCATTCTAGTCTATGAATACCAACCTCAGTATCCTTTCCTGAGCAGCTTGCCAGTAAGTTGCTCTTAACTGCTCAGAAAATATCTGCAAGAAAGTCTCTCATGTATGATTTGGTTCTTAGTCCATCAGGAGGATCCTGGGTTGCCCATATCTATGCAGTGGAGATATTTTCAGCCATAAAGAAGAAGGAAATGATATCATTTGCAGGAAATTGGATGCAACCAGAGATTATCATATTAAGAGAAGTAAGTGAATCCCAGAAAGGCAAACACATGTTTCTGCTCATATTGTGGCTCCTAGATTTTATGTAGGTGCATAACATCACCACCCCGCATGTGTGTGTGTGTGTGTGTGTGTGTGTGTGAGAGAGAGAGAGAGAGAGAGAGAGAGAGGAGT